TTAATTGTTGGTTTAACATATGAATGAAATATATCAACCTAAGTTATAATATACATATATATATTTATATTTATATAAATAATGATATAATATGATTGCATATGGTTAGATGCTTACAATCTCAAATGTATTACTGTCAAGTAATAATGCTGGAAATTCTATAATTTCATTTTGATAATCAAATCCTCCCTCTTTTTCACAAGTTGCTTCTACATCAAAACAAATATAATAATTGTATGGTTGTTGATTCTTTCTAAAAAATTCATTATTATTATTATTAATGCTATGGACTCGATAAAGTAAGTTGTGAGACATACTTGTTTGTAATTTCATTTTTCTCTGTTATGTTACAAGTTGGTTGTGGATTGATGAATCTTGCATAATCAGATTCAGTGTTGGTGAATGATTCTAATGATAACTTACAATTATTATTATCATTACCATTATTGCCATCACCATCATTAGTAACGGTATTAGTAATATTGTTGTCATCTTCATTACCATTACCATTAGCACTATTCAATTTATCGTTATTATCATTATGATTATTATTAGTTATTATTAAATGTTTTTTTAAACGTTTTACTAAAACATCTCTATGTCCTTTCGAATTTAAACCTAGTGTGACTAAATGATTACGAATGGTAATAACATTCATTTTTTTAATAGCTGTAATTGAAGTAGGAGAAGACACTGCTATTTTGTCTATATTTATTGCATTTTGTTTAGTGTTCAGCATAGCAGTGGAAAAAAATGAACACAAAAAAAAAATTTTATAAAATACATGATTTTAACTAACAAGGCGACATTTTTATTTTCAAACCAGTTGACAAGTATTCCGTTTTGGCTTTTCAACATCAATAGTTAACTATATATTTGCTATTTGTAGCTAACTTCACCAATAACTTTATTATTAAAGCCGAGGCAGATTAATGGTAAAATTATTTATATTTTTTTTTCCTTTGCCCATACCATAATACAACACATTAATATTAATATTTTTTTTTATTTAATATTTTGTGTATATAAAAAATATAAGTTTGGAAATAAACATTGACAAGATTTATATTTTTATTAACTTAATCTGCTGAGGAGGATCTAAAAAAGTATTTAAATAATAATAATATTACAGATTTTAAAATGAAATTAAAAGTTAATAGTTACCATCATTAATTATTACCAATAATTGTTACTTTATTGGAATTCATGGGTTTGTAAATGCTAGTATAAATAATAAGCAAACATTTGGA